ATTATTAAAAAATTTTCCATGTGTGATGCAAAATCTGTATATGTTCCAATGGCTTCTAATTTTGTGTTAAGTAGGGACCAATGTCCAAAATCTGAATCTGATTGTGAATATATGAAGCATGTGCCATACTCTAATGCAATAGGTTCCATAATGTACTTAATGGTTAGCACTAGGCCTGATTTAGCCTATGCAATTAGTTGTTTAAGTAAGTATATGTCGAATCCTGGTTTAGAACATTGGCATGCTTTAAAATGGGTGTTTAGATACTTATCTGGTACAATCAATGTTGGTTTAGTTTTTGGTAAATATACTAAAAATATACAGTTAGAGGGTTTTGTAGATTCAAATTATGCTAATGATAGAGACACTAGGAAAAGTACTACTTCATATATTTTTACCTTGTGTGGAACTAGTGTTAGCTGGAAATCACAATTGCAACATATTGTTGCTCTATCTACAACTGAATCTGAGTATGTAGCAATAACTGAAGCTTTAAAAGAAGCATTATGGTTAAAGGGTTTAATTACTGAAATTGGTTATTTGCAACATACTGTTACTGTTTTTTCGGATAGCCAGTCCGGAATTCAATTGTGTAAAAATCCTGTGTTTCATGATAGAACTAAACACATTGATGTACGTTTTCATTTCATTCGTGATATAGTATCTAAAGATATAGTAAAATTAGAGAAGATCCCATCTGAATATAACCCAGCTGATATGGGTACTAAGGTTTTGCCTGCAAGTAAATTCGTATCTTGTATGAGATATATACATTGTGATACTTTTGATTAGCCTTATACTACTTAGTGTAGTTGGTAGGCTAATTTAATGTTCTTTCACTAACATTATGTATCTTTGTTGCAGGAACAAGGAAACTAACATAAAATGAAATAAAATAAAATGGGCGATGATGTTCCCCAACCATTCGGACCAAAAATCAGGTGGAGGATTTGTTGGATTTTTGTCCTTATGGTCCACCCCAATTATGATACACAATACACACTCGTTTCGCAGCCCGAGCACATTTGGGCCTGGCCCATGTCCACACAGGCCCAAACTCTTTCAGCAGGCCCGTTAAGCCACCGAATACGTCCCGACTCACCGACCCGTCCGACTTCACCGACCGCCCGACTTCGTCCCGGCTTGGACCGTCCGAATACATACCCACTGTCCGACCTTATACCTCCCGACCTTGACCCACGTCCTGATCCGACCCGACTAGGATCCGCGTCTTTTTTTAAGCCACGCCCCTGGCCGTCCGATCTAGGGCTTTGATCCTGTCCGTCCATCCGATCTTACCTGTATATATATACCTGGGGTGAGAGAGGCGCCGTCATTCGATACCTTACTCACTCTCTCTCTACAACGCTCACCCTTTCTAGCCTCTCTCTCTCGACCTTTCTCTCACTCTCCTGTCCGACGGCGGTTCACGGCGGTTTTTGTGCAGTGCCTTTCCTCCTGTTCTGTGGAGTTCCTTTGGCACTTGTTTCCCCCTGTTTGTGTTGTTCGTAGCCGAAAGGGGCTCGTTCAACTGTAGGCTTGTGGTTTCTGTTTCCTGTATGCCTTTTACTTTTCTGTGGGGGTTTTGTGGTTGTGTGTCGTGGTGTTGTGGCCGGTGTGCTTGTATTAGTCGCGATTCGAATGTGTATGTGTATATTTTGTGTTTCGAGTGGTTAGGGGCTGAGCCTAGCCAAAACGAGTTAAAATTTTGTTCGATTTTCTTAATAAAAGTTTAGATCCGTTCCGCATTTTTAAATAACACCACCCCAAATCCTCTCCATATTATAATGTCATGAATGTATTTCTGTAAAAAGAAAATGAGCAGATTTGGGTCTGATTCATAGATGACATGATAGAAATGTTAGAATGAGCCTCATTGGCCTCATTGGCACCATCAGATTCAGATCCAGACATACCTCCACCAGTTGTTTCCGCTTCTATATCAGAAGGGACAACTGCACATCTAAAGTTTCTTTATGGCAACGCTCATATTTGTAAAAAAAAAACTATTTAACAAATTTATATTGAAAGTAAGGCCATTTTCAATGTTATGCCGTTAAAAAATTCTCTAAAAACTAGGAAAATGATAGCAAAATTGAAGGAATCCAATATATGTTTGGAGACTTTGTAGGAATCTCGGATAAAATCCAAATTATACCATGCAAAGGACTATAAAATCATTGTCTAAAAAGAGCCCAAGTTTTTGAATTGATGTTCTTTTTGAAGGATAAATAAATAAATAAATGACAATAGCAAACCCTATTCAAAAGCTAACACAAACACACCCTTATCATAAAGATGGCTTAATTTGATTTTTTTATATTTGAATAGTAATTTAACTATTCTCTCTGTTTCAATTCAATGGAGTTGATTAGTAAAAATATGTAAGAATTTTTAATATTTTTGTCCTTTGATTTTATATATAAAGTAATTGTATGTATAATATATGTTTATTATTTGAGTAAAAGTCAAAGATATTTTAGTATTACTGTATTTTTTTTCTAAAATAAGAAATGGATACTTTAAAGTGAAATAGACAAAAATAGTAAATATAGTATTTTGAATTGGGACAAAGGGAGTATAATATTTTTTATATATTTTTATAAAAATAGGAAAAAAAAAAACATAAAACCAAATTCAACGAAAATAAATATAATACCCGATCTATAATCGAGTTGGTCTATTAGATGTTTCGTTATTTAAATATATTAAAGTTATTATCAATACATCAACTTCAAACGGTTGTAGATATTTGAATTCATATCTGATTTTCATAAAACTTAGGTCATTGGATAGGTTTTTAAATTACTTTTCCAACACTATAAACGGTGAGTCAATATCAAACAAAAGAACTATAGCTAAAATAGTAGGCAAATGTTTGTTATGTACACAAAAATGTTCCATAAAAACGTCATAGCGATTTTAACTCGAGTTTTTAACCTAAAAGTTCATTTTCTCACTTATATTTTACCTTCATTTGATCATCCTAGCACCTTTATGAAACCCTAGCAGCCGCCCATCCCCTCCCACTCAAGTTTGAGGTGATTTTGGAGTAAAGTCTGATCGAACCAAGTCTCACGAATCAGTGGTAGTTAAGTTTGTTAGCTTCCTCTAAATAACATAAAGGGTTAAATATCGCATGTCGGATGAGTCTTCTAATTTTCACTTGCTTCATAGACTATAAGAACAAAATTTATGTCAATGAGAAGTGATATGAGAACATGATGAACATATTGTTTATATATAGCCGAATTGTTGCTAGCTAATGAGATGAATAGTTGAGCGGTGCTAGGCTAGCTAATGAGATGAATGATTGAGCGGTGCTAGACCAACTTATATATATTGATGAGCTGGTGTTAGACCATCTAATTGATTGAAAATGGGTTGGGATTAGGCCAACTCCTATGTATTGATGAGTCGATGCTAGGCCATCCAGTTGATTGAAAGTGGGTTGGGTCGGTGTTAGGTCAACAACTCCTATGTATCGATGAGCCGGTGTTAAGTCATCTGATTGATTAAGAATGAGTTAGGTCGGTGCTAGATCAACTCATGTACATTGATGAGCCGACGTTAGGTCATTCGATTGATTGAGACAGGGTTGCGCCGGTGTAGGCCAAGCTTTGTGCATTTTTGGATGCCGGTGCTAGGCATACTTTGACTTTTTAATGATTGTAATTTAACGTGATAAGTTTTAGTTTATGCATATTAAATTCTTTACTCAATTTTTGCAGATGTTACTACTTTTTTCTATTCAGAGTAAAATTCAGGAGCTTCGTCCAATTGATGCATCATTAAGGTGAAACTTTAATTTGGCATTCATGAACTTTTGGATTAGATATTGTCCAATTTTAGGGTTATACGTTCTCTACTTTTGAGATACATTGAGAATTTTAAATTTGTGTAATGACATTCTAAGGGTTGCATTTATTAACGTAACAAAAAACTTTTTACACTCACTATTATTATGTTCTGGCTTTAGTATCAGGATACGTCATGTTTTGTGTGGCGTTCTGATATTGATGTGTAACAATTCAAGATTTTTATTTGGGATGTTACAATAAATTTTAAAATTGTTACGATAAAACTAATTATTTAACATAATAGTACATATTCTATTCATCCACTCAAAATCTTCTCAGTTTTTTATTATAGTCTGTCCCCTCAAATTTTCTCATTTCATTTTTTAGTAATTACATTTCATATAAATAAAAAAATATCATTACTTTATCATCACATTATTATTTTTACACAAAAAAAAAAAAACAAAAGGCAAAATTATCTTAACATATATCATATGTACTATATTTCAATAAAATAATAAAGTCATCTCCAACCACAGTTGCTACAGTATTTTTATTTCAACCCATAATTCTATTTTTTACTCCAAAAAGAATAATTTTCAAATATTCCATATTACTTCTTTCTTTAAACTACTTGTGCGCAATACCATTTTTTTGTGGCTACCAAACACCATTTTTGGGGTTAGGATTGGCGTTGGACCAGAGGGCATTAACTCCATTTATGAGGCTGCACCATAAAAAATACAGCTCCGTTGGACATGCCCTAATATACTAAAGTCGCGTGCCAAAAGTAAACGAGAAATTACTAGTGGAACAAATGGAGTAATATAAATATAAATATAAATTAATATTTTAGAGAAAAAAATTATAATATTAATAATAATAAACATGATTTGAAGACACCAAACAAACCTTCTATGCTTTCGAAAATACATTTATAGAAGTCCCTAAGGATAAATGACCAGCAGTGAGTGATAAACTTACAACCGTATCATTTTATTTATGATCTTATACAACACATCAATTCTAATAGAGTAACAACTTATTTAACACTGTTTCATACAGTAAGCTTGCACTTATGATAATATATATACTTATTAAAAACTTCAGGCTATAATCTTATTTGTGCAAATTATATCTCGGCATAAAATGACAGATCCGTCTTTTCTTCCCAATTCAGAATATATATATATATATATATAGATATAAACCACCACCATCAGGTTCAAAAAGTCATCCATGGTAATATTATCTGCTTTCTGCTAAGGATTGTAACTGATGTCAAATTACGTAACACAATCGGGTTTCAAGAACACAAAATAAAGTTTAGTATTACCAAACAAAATTGAAAGAGAGAACCTTAGATAGTGTGTTTATGATCCTCCTCTGCAGCTGCTTCAAATGTCTCACCAGGCACAAGATCTGGAACATCATCCTCATCATCTTCCGGAGCTACCGTGGCACCAGAAGTGGCGCCGCCTTCTGTAGCTGGCGCTTGCTTCTGGAACTGCTCAGCCAATTTTTTCAAATTCTCCAGGTTATCTGGACCTGAGGAGTTTTAGTGACGACCCTTCATGAGATAGGTATTTTTTTCCCACAAGGCAGAAAGAAGGAAAGATGAAAGCATGAATAATCGTCACTTACCCAATTGGTTAATAATCTGAGGAAGAATGTCTTGCAATTCTGAAAGAAAAAACATTAAAACAACACGATACATGAATATGACAGCACAAGAATTTATTATGCAAACAAGTTTCAGGTCATTTTACACATTAATGACGAAAATAGTATTATCAAGAAACCCTCATAAAAGTTTGTCAAATTTGTGATGGAATATAAATCCAATGTGCCATGTACTTCACAAAAAGATATTTGGATTAATACAGAAGACATACTCTTGTTCTGAGGAGTTCCACTGACAACCCAGGTGTTGGCAGCAATAGATGCTTGAACTGAAAAATAGAAACACAGAAATTTAGGAACAAATAAAGGAATTGTTAAAAGCATGAAAATCGAATTGCATAGTTCATACCTTTAGGGTTAGTGAACTGGATAACCACATCCTCCTTGAAGATATTTACCTCTTCAATTGCAGGTATGGAGTTCACTCCAATTCTCTTCAAGGTGCTTTGAAGCCTTTTATCATCTGTTGTCGTTGTCTTATGTACGGCCTTCTTCTTTCTGAAATTTGTAAAACATGTTATAAGGCAAATTGAAGTATTAGATTTGCAACTTGATTAATTTTTGCTTTCTAATAATAACAAGTAATTCTCTTTTGCATGCATTACTTCATGTTGAAATTGTAACTTCAACAAATACGCCAAAAAGGTAGTAAAAAATAACCAAACAACATTAATTATTAAGTGAAAAAAATTATGGCTACAAAAGACAAACCTTCTCATTGTACCCTTCCCGCCAGTTCGGACAGAACCAGCCATCTTCATTAGTTTTTCTACATTCATCTGAAATTTCACAGAATTAGACCTTGGAGAGTAACTCCAATTTTTTTTGTAAGCAGATATATTTCTCAAATCTACAAGATCCTAACAGCCAGGATCCAAAAATTTAGCCTCCTAGGGTCCTAATTATAATTATACAAATTGGTGGGTTTTCTATTCCTCGTAAAAAGACAAGTGCTTTCAAACCAAAAAGGCTAAAGGCTAATATGCACCTTTACGAACACACGTTCCGCATAACCAATAAAATAAGTTTGCAGAAATCATCAACATCAATGATATACCTTGATCACTGCAATAAATTATTTTCCTAGTTGAAATGCAAGCCATAAAAAGCACAAGAATAAACAAATATAAAGACTCAACAAAACCAAGTGTGATCAAATAAACATCAACACATTTGGTGCCATAAAACAAAACTATGAATGAATTTGTCAATAATCAAAGAACTGTGAATGTTGGCAGAAGGTTCAAAAGCCTAGCTTTTCTAGAAAGGGAGACAAATATCAAATCTCTGTAATTGTAAACGAAAATTCTACACACAAAATCCCTCTCCGGTCACATCCAAAACAAGTCCGTAATTAGCATCTGGTAAGTGCTGAAACAGAACAATACATCGGAAAGTTCCAAAATACCGAAGTGAAAAGATTCAATATTTCAATTTATAAATATAAAATAGATGGCCATCAAAATAATCATGAATAGTGAGGAGTGTCACTACCTTCGAGAGCCGCACACTAGAACTGCGTTGATGCCAATTGGGTGAGAAGTCGAAGACGACAGAGCAGAACAAAATGAAAATCTAGACTCAACCAATTCTCAAGACATCCACCAGAGCAGAGCAGCTGTGAGGGTATTTAGGGTAGGAACAAATTACACAAGGCATGCTGATATAGATTAAGAGTGACTCAGAACACTCAGAGAAAACAAACCAGATTGGGGAGAAGGGTAAGAGAAATTAAGGGTGTGTTTGTTTGGGGGATTGGATTTTAAATACACTATTCATCCCATTTTTCCCCCTAAAAATATCAAATCAAACACTTATTTTTTATTTTTTATATTATACTAAAAATCAATTTTACATTCAAAACATCACATCAATACCTATTTATATCATACAACTATTCAAATTCAAAATTTTTACTATTCAAATCCCAACTCAAAATCCAAACCCCCAAACAAACACAAGTTTGATTTTCATATTACTTAGCACCGATTGGCACTTCAATTGCCAATTTCTTACCCAACAAAGAAATCGAAAGATTAAATTAGGACTTTAGATCACTTCTAACAAAATCAGAACCACATGAATTAAGTTTTAACTCCTACCAAACTTCAATTGGATACCATGCAGAGCAGGCAACCACATTTACCAAGGTTTCTATTTTCTTCTCAATGTAAGTTCTCCCTACCCTAACCAACTCGTAGTAACGAAAACAGACTCAATTTTAACTTCAATGAAGAGAATAATATTTCAATAAATTAAGACCTGTTTTTAAAGATAAATACATTTCAAACACTTGGAAAATACTCTGATACCACATGTAAGATTTTCGACTACATCGAATATCAGGTTTTCAAGACGTAACAAACTCAAACTGTTTAAGAATTTAACGAATCGATTAACACAAAACCAAGTAGGGAAATATTTGTTTAAAAATCACACCGAGCCAACAAAATGTGAAATAGGCTCAGGCACCCAAATCGAACGCGATCGACCCTCAACCAAACAAAACCATAAAATCGCGACTAACTCACATACACTGGCCCCTATCTTTAATGAAATCAGCGATTTAAGCCTATACAAACAGTGGACAATCAAACAGCACAAAAATCGAACAATATAGGCCAAACCGAAACACGGAAGGCGCTGGGCGCACAGGAACGGCGGAACAGCACCAGCGAAAGGAAGAACTCGCACTCCACGGGTCAGGAGCTAAGGAACCAGAACGAACAGCAGCTGCGGTAATCCGATCGCAGAAGAGCGACGTCCAGAGGATTATAGAGGTGAGAAATTAGGGCTCGATATGAGAGAATGAAATTATTTACTCCATTTATTTATTTTTGTCTCTCAATTAGTAATTAAATCGGACGGCTCATAATCGGATTCCGGTTTGGATCGGGCAAGTGTGGTGGGTCACTAATTTGGGTCTCAATATTATGACTCCGTTTACATATGTAAATTTTTTTTTTTTTTTTTTTTTGAGACTTTTCAAATTTTGAAAATTTAATGAAAAATAAAAAATGAATATTTGATATTTTGTAAAAAAAAATATATATTTAATGTGATATTTTCTAAAAATAAATTGTGTTTAATGAATTAAAGATGATAGTGTAAGCTACATGGATTGGTTTTGAGTTTATTTATTAATTTTATATTAATATCCTAAAAAACTGATAAATTAATGTTAGATAATGTAAATACTTTTAATGAACAGTAATAATTAGTCTCGCAAGGATGGTCTGGTGGCGTATTGAACGTAAGAGAGTAAAATATTTTAAATGATCTTTTTGGATAAAAATAAATAATCGATCAAATATTTATTTTTATAGGTTTTTTAAAAATTAAATGATAAGTTGTCTTAAAAAAAAACTATAACATGGAATATTAACCAATTTTATTTATCAAACTTTACATCAATACAAAGGTATTTTACACAATACATAAAGCACGATGTATTTTATATATTTTTATTAAAACACGATGAGGTGTTATATAATTTACCAGATTATTGGTATGTATATCCATAGATAAAAACATAACCATAATTGTTTAGTAAATGTGACATTGTTGCGTGCTTTAAAGTACAAAAAGTACCTAGAAGAAATGTATATTCGAAGAAGGTTTGAATTTATATTTGAAATCTGAGAATAAATAAAATTTGAATTGTATTAGTATTTGTGGGATATATAAGTTTTTGATATGATATTTTAAATAAAAATAAATATTTGTATACTATTGTTGAGTGCAAATTTCAAAATTAGAGTTTTTAGCCCCTGGGTCGGAATTGAGTGGGCCCAGTAGTAGGCCCGATTGGGAAGTTCAAATCAGACAAGTCGGTTGGAGTGAAGGGGGCCCCACAAAGAGCGTCAAACAGTTAGACAGTTGATTGTTTGAAGGAACTAACTGACTAGATATTTTTTGACGGTTAGTCTGGGAGAAACCGACTTAAGCTGCCGAATTGGTCGATGGCAGTTTTGAATGACTACATGTCAATATAAGAAGTATGGGTTGTAACCGATGACGATTCGATTCACGATGAAGGTAGCTGACTTTGGAATGGTTCCAGGCGGTTTTGATGGTGTATATATCAACAATTCTATCAAGAGGAATAGGGATCTTCAATTAACATCAATTTTATGAAAGTCTCATTGGGGATCATCATTTTACAATTCTTAGTTATCTTTGTGATTTCTTCTATTAGCTTTTTATATACTTTATTTAGAGATCCGTAATATCAAATATTTTTCAGTTCAAATTCGAAGCATATCTTTTTATTTTACTTTTTATTGTTGAAATTTTTTATCAACAAATTCGCGACCACAGTGAAAAATAGGCAAAATTGTTGATCCTACGCCCAACAATAATTTTATACAACTCCAATCCGTTAAAATCATTGCAAAGAACCTCATTGCGGGTTCTCAGTCTCAAAGCCTTAGCACAGCCGTCAGAGGCACCGTAGCGACTCTATTAACTATCTTGACCACGGAGCGGTATCTCAAGTACTATCTCAATCGTTAACGTATATTCAACAAATGAACAACCAGCAAACGGCAACCATACAAGCAATGTTGCGTGATCAACAAAATTTAATGCAGAATATACTGGATCAGGCTCTATCGAGGGCCACCATGCATTCCCTGCCTACACCTCGAGGAATGTCTCCTTCACGACTAAAGGCGAATTTTGCAGAGCCGTCGTTCGTGGATAGCACCATTCCAAATGCTACGGCCCTTAGTAGGGTGGGAAGAGGAAAAAAACCCCTCACCTACCCTAACAACATTTCTTTAGGGACAAGATTCTGATCTTTTTCAAGCAAATTTCTAGCGAGAGGAACGACTAGGAGGTTAAGCACATGATCTCATCCCCGTACCAGATCACCAGCCACTTAAGCTGGACCCATAGGATGTCGCACACATTTGGATGGTCCATTTTGACATGACTCCTCAGATTGCCAATTGATCCGCATATCAACGGTCTTTTCCATAAAGGAATATCAATGAACATCATCTTCTGAGAAATTATCAATCACATGATTTTCATGCATTTTCAAGAAAGGATGGTTCATCCACTATAGAATATGTAGGCCGTTTCACAGCTCAATTAAGAGAAGTTGGAAACAATCATTTCTATAAACTGCAGTTGTTTGGTTTTTCTTTGACCAGGACGGCGTTTTCCTGGTTTGTCAATTTACCACCGGGACAAATTCAAACATAGAAGTGGTTGGAGGCCGCTTTTCACACCAGGTTTTTTTAACCATGTTTCAACAGTATCTTTGACTGATTTATTAGAAATTAAGCAAATGCCGGAAGAAGCTTCGACACAGTTTATAGAAATGATTTATCTAATGAAGGGAAGGTTCCCAATTGTGATAGAGAAAAAATAAATGACTAATCTCGTGATCCGGAATATGCATGGACAGTTATGAGTGGCGTTAACCGCCCATGATGTCGAGGATCTGGTCAATCTAGCATCTAAGGCTAGACGTTTAGAATCGTTGTTCAATAAAAAAGATCAAATTTTTTGGCATAACAAAGTAAAACAAATGGTTGATATAGAAATAGAGTCATATGTCTCACATGCGGACCCAGTGATGGAAGCGGAATAAATGGCAGTTGAAATTGTTAATGGAAAGTCGTTTGTCTGCCCCAAATTGAAACCAATCCTAGGAATAGAGGGAAAGGACCAGCCAATCTTGGATAACTCTAAAGCATACAAGATCTTTCATATTTTATTAGTGGATGGAAAAATTCGGATTCCTAAAGGTCAACGACTGGCAACGAAAGAAGAGATCAAGGGGAGGCCGTATTGCAAATAGCACAACTCTTTTACCCACAGTACGGGTCAGTGAATACACTTCCCAAAAAAAATCCAAAGGGCCATTAACGTCGGACATTTCAAACATATTACGCTGGGAGTGGAACAACAACCATTCCCAAAGGTGACGATGGCTACAATAGAAGTTTTCCCGAACAAGGGATTAAAGAAGAGAGCACGCCCAAAAGAACCAGAAGGAAAAGCTCAAGTTGTGTGAAGACTAAGTTGCAGAAAAATGGGACCACCCTGACGAAACTTATAAGGTGGAACTTGAAGACAGGTGTTGGTTCGAGATCGACCAACTAGGAAGTCTTGTTCAATTAACAACAAATGGTCGAAATAGAAAGTCGTTGTCAGTGAATATTGACCCTTAATTTTCAGGTATGAATCATACTCAGATTCATAATGCTAAACATAGGTATACCGCTAGGCATGGTCGACGTTTGAATAATAAAGGATTTTTTGCATTGGAATCTGAGCCCAAAATTCGAGTGTCTTGTGGATACTGTAACAGATTATAGATTCGTTAAAAAGAGTCAAGAAAGACCCAGTAAGAAAGAAGTAAAGTGTTACATGTGTCAATACTGTAACCGAATTAATATAGATCCAGTCATGAATGAGATCAAGAAGGACCGCCGTGAAGTCCGGATTGGGTCATTCTCGTCGACTAAGATTCAATCACTTATAAAAAACCATGCAGACCCTGTCATCAAGAGATATCCTTTCAAAATTTGCGATGTTAGGAATGCACTGGAAATAAGAAAAGCTAATTTGGGAGAAGCTGATATGGGCTAGTTTGGCGAATGAGTGTTTGGAAAAGCCTGAATGGGCAAGGATAGCATATCCCGATCTATCAACGGATATTCCTCCGCCGATGATTTTTTCTCCCCTTCTTGAAGAAACGGTTCCTCATCTGAAGCTCTTTTATGTCAATGCTCATATTTGCGGTAAGCTAATCACGGGACAGTCTTCATTGTTATGCCTTTAAAGACTCTTAAAAGACTCGGCAAAGAATTCTCGATTTATCACTTGTGGATATTGAAATGAAGAGTTTTACTGGGCAACCGATCAAACCAGAAGGCATGATGGTGGCCCTAATAGAGGTGGGGCCGAAAATAATATCTACTGTCTTTTTTGTGGTAGATACAGATACCACATATTCAGTATTATTATGAAGAGACTAGATTCATGCGTCTCAATGCGTACCCATGGCAGAGCTGTAAGCTCACCAACCAAAGGTATATGTTCTTTTGATAGAAAAATCCCCTTGTTGATCTTATGGCTCATTGATAGCGAAATCATTATTACTGCTCTAATCTAGATTACTATGGTAGGTATCAATATGGATGATGATAGCATGATAATTAATCTGTATTATTTAGGACAATTATTAAGTAGGTTACAAGAAGTTAGGGTTACTGCAAATGTTCGTGTTGAGGATGAGCTATTTTGTTGGCCGAATTTGTTCGAGAAGACCGAGCCATCATTTACAACACAAGATCCTCTTACTGATTATAATGTCGGAACCAACCAAGTTCCGAAGATGGTCATAGTGAGCGGCCATTTGTCTAAACAACAACAAGAGCAAATGGTTGGCTTGATACGAGATAACGTGGACTGTCTAGCGTGGGATTACTCAGAAATTCCAAGGTTAGAAAGGAGTTTGGACGAGCATAGGTTACCTATCAAAGCAGGGTTCAGCCCATACAAGCAACCGCCACAGCGCATCAGTCCTGAATTAATGCCACAAATCAAAGAAGAAATCGAGAAGCTTTTAAAAGTTGAGTTTATCCGACCTTGTCGAAATGCTGAATGGTTGGCCAATATCGTGTCGATAACCAAGAAGAATAGAAAGACTTGAATTTGTATTGATTATTGAAATCTTAATTTGGCAACCCTTAAGGATAAGCATGTGATGCACATGGCCGACATGTTGATTGACTTAGCTACAAATTCAAATATATTTTAAAAGATCACGACTCATCTACATATTTTTCAATTTT